AACAAAACAAAACAAAACAAAACAAAACAAAACAAAACAAAACAAAATGCTCACTGGCTTCCAGTAGGCTCAGGACACTGCTATAGTTGGCTTTTCTTCCTTCCTTCCTTCCTTCCTTCCTTCCTTCCTTCCTTCCTTCCTTCCTTCCTTTCTTTCTTTCTTTTTATTTTTTTTGGAGACCTGCCACCTAGCTCCCAAATAAATACACAGAGACTTATTCTTACTTACAAGTGCCTGGCCTTAGCTTGATTTATTTCTAGCCAGCTTTTCTTAACAGATTTTCCTGTTCACCTTTTTTGTCTCTGGGCTTTTACCTTTCTCTATTCATTTCTTTCTTTTCTACCCCATGGCTGGCTGGGCAGCTGGCCCCTGGCACCCCTGCTCCTTCTACTTTTCTCACCCTTTCCCCTTCTCTTCTTTCTCTCTTTCTATGTATTCTCTCTGCCTGGCAACCCTGCCTGTGCCTCTCCCACACAGCTATTGACCATTCAGCTCTTTATTAAACTAATTAGGTGTTTTAGACAGGCAAAGTAACACAGCTTCACAGAGTTAAAGAAATGCAACATAAAAGAATGAAGCACATCTTTGCAACGTTAAGCAGATATTCCACAGAATAAACAAATGTAACACGTCTTAAACTGTATTCCACAACACACTGTTGACACAAAAACCCAGCACTCCAGAGGACGTAAAAGATGGTCCATGCTGGAGTCAATATGAGTGGTCATGGGCCAGAAACATATATTTAGGTTTCTCCAAACTCCGTGTTCCAAGTGATGACAGTTTGGTGAGGGTTTAGACAGCAGAACAAAGAAAGTCCTAAATGAAGGCATAATTCAAATAGATTGGTGGAAACATTGGCAGTCAGGTTAAAGCAAAGTGGGCAATCTCTGCTATAGGTCTTAGGTGCTATCTAATGACAGTTTTAGTCATTTGGATGGTACAAGCTAAAGATAAGCTAATACATTTTGAAGGGTTTTATTTGGGCACTGGAGAAATGGCTCACTGGTTAAGAACGAACGGTTCTTGCAGAGGACTCAGATTCAGATCCCAGGACCCATCCAGATCTCACAGTTTACAACAGATTGAACTCAGGTTTCAAGGGATCTGACACCTTCTTCTGCCCCCCATGGACACCTGCATGTACACGATGCACATACATATACTCATGTCCACATATACACATACAATAAAATAATTTGAAAAAAATACCTTTTTCTCCTGTTAGTCACAAGGTAGTTAGCTCAGACATTTAAGCAGGCAAGGAATGGCTACTAAAAAGGCAAAAGATAGCACAAGATAAATTGTGCTTAATCTCTGAATCCACAGCATTCCAACCTCTCCAACACTTTGGCTATTCAGTTCGTCTCCCTGGAGTGCCCACCCTCACCTTCTTTTCTGGAAAAGGGCTTATCGGGTATTTTTCCTGCAGAAGCCCCTTGGTGTAGAGTGAGTCCTTCTTGGAGATTCTACTACATGATGGTTGAGGGCACCTTACACTTTGGGGATTCTCTCTGTGCTGAGTTGTTAAAACATCTTCCAAGCTCCATCTTATTCCATCCAACAAAGGCCACACTTCTTTTGTCTCCATGGTAGCTGAGAAAATACTGCATCACATGGGAGGTAAGGAGGCTCAGCAGTGATGGAGGCAGGATTGGAATCTGTGTGATCTAGACTTTGAGGCCATATCTTTAAGGATCATGCTGTTCTCAGTCCTCTGTAAGTCCATGAAAGCACTTAGCACATCTCATAGTTATAAAGTAACAAGGAAAATAATTTGATGGTTGGGGTCATCACGATATGAGGGTATTAAAAGGTCACAGCATCCCGGAAGGTTGAGAATCACTACTCTAGAGAAACAAAACTTACAGAATGAACACACACACACACACACACACATTTATACATATATATATATAAACATACATAAATATATATTTATACACATATAAATAAACATATATAAATATATATATTTATACATATATGGGATTTATTAGAATGGTCTAGTACTTACATACTGTGGTCCAGCTAGTACAACAACTGTCTACCAACAGAAGGTCTAAGAATCTAATAGCTATTCAGTCAATGAGACTGGATATCTTAGCGGGTCTTCAGGATATATCAGAACCAGAAGTGGGCTCTAGTACCAGTGATAAGCAAGCCAACAAAGAGCAAACACCTCCTTCATCCATGTCCTTTCTGCCAGCAGAAGGCGTGGCACCCATTAAAAGTGGATCTTCCTACCTCAAAAGATCTGGATTAAAAGTAGATCTTCCCACTTCAAATAATTTAAGAAAAAATCCCTCACAGGTGTGTCCAGCCCCTTGGGTTTTTGGTAATTCCAGGTGTAGTCAAGTTGACAACCAAGAAGAGCCATCTCTAAGGGAGAGGACAGGTTGAAGTTACTAGAGTTTTATGAGAAGATGTTATTCTATGACAATATTGGGATGTTTTTGCCAATGAAAATGAAAAAATGATGTTACAAGAAAGTTTAAACCAGGATTGAATTGATAAAAATTATTAAAAAATTTAAAGAACTGATCAGATTCATCAGTAAAGAATTGTAGGCTTGAGCCGGGTACAGTGGCGCATGTCTCTAATCCCAGCACTCAGGAGGGAGGCAGAGGCAGGTGGATCTCTGTGCTCTCTGGTCTATGTGGAGACTTTCAGGACAGTCCAGGCTGTATAGTGAGACTCTGTCACAACTACAATGACAGCAAAAGAAACGAAAAAGAAAACTGTTTATTTATTAAATTTACTTATTAAATTCATGCAAACTTGGTCTGTGGAGGTATAGCCAGAAATATACATATGGAGTATTCTAATAGAGAAATATAGACAAATGTACAACTCTAGCACACTGGGCAATGAACATTAAGTGTTTACTGAGTCCTTTGACAGGCGGTAAAACTGGTGGATGCTTTCCCTACAAAACCACACCCGTATATTCTGGAAACTGACTGCTGGTTCCCAGTATTTTCTGTTCTGCACGTTCAGGAAGCAGCTGTGGTGGCTTCTGTGAAGTCAGATAACCCTAGGTTTTGTATGTCAAACCTCCTGAGGCTGCTTTCACAATACTGTTCAGGAAGAGTCGACTGTTGTGACAGAAAACAGAACGAAGCTGCTCTGAAATTCCATCTTATCCCTGTCGAATGGCTGCCGTGTAGACATCAAATGACAACAAATGTTGGCAAGAATATGGGGAAAGAGGAACCTTATTCACGGCTGATGACAATGTCAACTGGTACAGCCACCCTGGAAGTCAATGTGTCAATGTGAAGGTTCCTGAAGAGAGAGAGAGAGAGAGAGAGAGAGAGAGAGAGAGAGAGAGAGAACAAGAACTACCACATAACCAGCTGTACCCCTACCCCTTGAGGGTACGTGACTGAGGGGCACTCAGTCAGCACCCTTGCACAAGTATTTACAGCTGTAGGAGTCACAAGAGCCAGGAGATGGAACCAATCTGGTTGCCCATCAACAGGTGAGTGGGTAAAGAAAGCATGGTGTGTATACACAGTTTAGACTTTCACTCAGCCAGAAGGAAAACTGAACTCATGGCATTTGCTGAGGTTGTTATATTAAGTGAAATAAGCTATACTGGGGAAGTGGGAAGCACATTTTCTCTAATATGCTTAACTTAGATTTAAAACACTCTGTGTGTGTGTGTGTGTGTGTGTGTGTGTGTGTGCGTGCACGCACGCACGTATGTATAGGTCATGAAACTAGAAAAAAATCAGGGGCGGTGTGGAAGATCTTACAGGAGCTGGGAAATAGGAACAGTGATGGAATATATATAATAGGAAAGCAGAGGGGAACTAAGAGGGAAAAAATGAACCAGCTGGGAGGGATGGGCCACGGTGGAGGGCAGGAGGGAAGGGGAACAAATGAGAGCAAATGATAATGACACATGTTTGAGAGAGAAGAGAGAAAGAGAGAGAGAGAGTGCGCGTGCACAAGAGAGACTTCCTTATATCCAAATAAAGTCACATTTTGGATATGGGGAAGAGGACTCAAAAATGCAAGGTTTATGGAGCTATAGCTCAGACCACAAGACTGCCTCAGTTCCAGCTGCTGACTCAATTCTCCCTTACCCTATCACCAACATAGCTGCAGGTTCTGGAACTTAGGAGAGAGACACCTTTGCGAATGGAAGAATTGTTCTGTCCACTCCACAGTGATCCACGTTGGCCTGGAGAAGTCTCTAGAACTGAGGTACAGTGAGAGACGACTGAGGGGACATGAGATGCACAGTCAGAGGGAAGTGACCCTGAGGTTGGGGCGATGAGAAGGGTACAGACGAGGCCAGCAGAGTTGCTCTGGGGTCCCCAACTTGTCCTTAGAGCATTCCAGTGCAGAAGCAGCACGGTCTGGCTCTCCCTGTATGCTGAGTTACTAGGTGAGGTAGGCTGAGGTAGGAGGGGACCAGTTAGGTGAAAACCCAAGAGGGAGGATGCAGGCCCGGCCAAGGAAGCAGCAGGAGAGGTCACCACGACAGAGCTTGATTCTTTCTTGGATTGATGCGTGTGAATGACAGGAGTCAGGAGTGGCTTCAAGACTTTCGTTGCTGTTGTTCTCTGTAATGACAAACAGGGTTGACAGTCACTGACAGACGAAGATGGGTATGAGAAATAGCTCTCTGTCCCCCTGTTTCTGGCTCTGTCTGTCTCTGATGCAGCTCACTGACCACTGACTTCAAGTATGCAAAGCTAGCTTTCTTTATGCATTTAAACCCAACATTCAAGTCTTCTATTCATATATCTCACAGTTGTTGTTAGAAAAATAATACTTTCACTTGTTTAGTGATCTTCAATTAACTCATGGGCACAGATTAAAATTAGTACTGTTTACAGACTTGGTTATTGCTTCCCCTTAAAGACACTCACCTACAGCTATAAATTAAAATGCTTACCCTTTCAATACTTCATATGCCTGGCAGGGCAAACGTACAATATTACTAAGCATTTTAATTACTCTTGTATCTAACACATGAATAATTACAGCAAATTAATTTTTCTTCATCATGTTACAGCTATTTGTAAGTTTGAAATAATCAAATCAGAATAATGAAGCAGAAAAATGCCAGTTCCTTCGTCTTGGTGCACCGTATTTTCCCCGCCTTGGAGTGCTGAATGGGGAGCTGATCATGCTCCATGCTTTACTTACAATCTAAAGACAACCCCAGAAATAGTGTCTTGGCTATCAATGCATGCTATGAAAGCAGAGAAGCTTCTTTCAATCCAGGTGAAAGCTAACCTTTGGTGAGGTCCAGCTTGAGCCCCTTGAAAGGCTAGGGCTTTTCTTCTACTCCCACAGTGAAAGCGTATGCAGAAAGAATAGATAGTTGAAGTGGGGTTCAAATGATCTGTGTCTTCTCCATCAAAGCTAGACCATTGATAAGACAACAAGGCACGCCAAGAGTCAGGCTCAGGAATCTACTGGGTGGTTTTCTAAGCATGGAGGCAGACAAAGCCTGAGACTTTGATGCTTTCTGGACAACTGAATGAACAAATATGCTCCCGCCCATCCTTCCATCTCCGATGCCAGTGCTTTCCATGTGATTCATACGAAGATAGAATTAGGTAGAAAAAATAATGACAGCTGTAGGAACTGTGTCCTCACCTAGAGAGAGGTGGATACGGCATATTTTAACTGCCACTTTTCTTGTTTCTATGACAAAATACCTGGGCAATAAGCAACTTAAGGGAGGGAAGGTTTCTTTTGACTCACAGTTTCAAGGAGCACAGTTCATCATGGTGGGGAAACTATGCCAATGTGAGCAGGAAGCTGCTTGCTGGTCATATTCTATCCAGAGTCAGTAAGCAGGGCTTGAACAGGAAGTGGGGCTGGTTGTTAAATTTCAAAGCCTCCCAAGTGTCCCACTTTTTACAGTGAGGCTCCATCTCCTATAGATTTCACAAACTTCCCAAACAGCACCATCATCTGGGAACTAAGTATTCAAACACACAAGTCTATGGTGGACACTTCCCATTCAAAGCACAAGAGGTGTGTATTTTGCTAAGCCCCAAATGCACTCATTTGTTTGATTATGGAGTGGAAGAATAGGGTTGTCCACCTAGGAGTCTCGAGTAGAAAGATTCCTTCAAACATCCCAGCCTTTGAGAACGGCCATCACTTCACCCTCCTCCCTCTACTGCAGCAGTGTGGGCAGAACTGGCTAATCTCCAAAAGATCTTCTAGGAAATGATTTCCGTGGGGCCAGCACAACCTCCATCCCATCTCCTAGAAGCGATTGGCACCTTCCTAGCATCTATGATGTGGGTACAAATTCATTAAGGACCCTAGGCTTCTGAGGGCTAGCAGCAGGCCTACACTCAAGGTTCAGGCTTGAATTGAACTGTTTCATTTCTTATAGTTTGTTGGCTCAAGCAGAATGCTAAGGTCTCGGGTCTGGTTGGTGGGGTTAGGGGTTTTGCTCAGTGATAGAGTTCTTGCTTAGCATACGTAAAGTTACTCTGTCCCAGTGCCATAAGAAATACATATGGTGACTGGAGTTTGATGTTGCTGTACAGCCATCTCTCTACTGGACAGAGAGGCAGTGTGAGGAAGCTTTTGGTGATAGTGCACACCGGAACTAAGTTCAGGGTGAAGTGTGGCCTAGTGGGTGGTCGCAGAAGTCAGGTGACCCAGACACAGAGAGCCAGTATCTGGGCTGGTGCAGGAGAAGAGGCATGTTGCTATAGATACTCATGGTCATCTATGGAAAGAGACAAGGGACATGGTGACAGTGGTCAGGACCGTTGCCATAGAGTGAAACACAATGTGTATAGGGTCTCTGAGAGGAGAGTGACCTGATTAAGCATGAGGGGGTGACAGAGATTAGCAAGGGGGAAAGGCAGTGGGTGGCAAGGTCAGGACAGACAGACCTGCAGGAACGATGCTGTGAAGGTCCCAGTGAGGTAGCTGAGAGCTGGAGCAAGTGTCTGTGGGACCTGGCTAGGCTCACACCTCTGAGACGGGCGGCATGTGAGGGTGTTTTTCTTGGGACTTGCTAAACTCTGTGTGCTCTCCATCTTCTTTACTTGTCCTGAAATACAGTGTCCAGGCTAGGGAGGTGGCCTGGTCAGGCACAGGCACAGGACCTGAGTTTGATGCTTAGCACCCATGTGAACAATCCTTCCGATGCTAGGAAGGCAGAAGGGCTGATCCCCGAAGCTGGTTTCCAGGCTAAGGAAAAATTCTGTCTCAAAAATTCTCACATGGTTGGTAGCCAAGACTGTCCTCTGATCTCCATGTACATGTACACACACATGCCCTTGAGTGCCCCTGTGAACACACACACACACACACGCGCACACACACACATGCACACACACACACGCACATATATCTTAGAGTGATCTTGGTTCACAAAAAACTTGAGAGAAGGATGCAGTTTTCCCATGCACCCCCGCACCCCCAGTACACACACAGCCTTTTCCACCATCCAGTTCACACAAAGGCCACATTTGTTAGAACACTTGCACCAACATTGACACTTTCTTATCACTGAAAGTCACAGAACCCAGCAGGGCTTGCTCTCAGTGTGGCACAGTCTGTGAGCTTTAGTGAGAACAAACGGCCTCCATTACAGGGCCATACAGAGTCACTCACTGCCCCAAGACTCTTCTGTGCTCCGTCTACACATCCTTCCCCCAGTTCCTCCTCTTGGCATCTAATGATCCTTCTTAGTAACAGACTTTTCCTCCATTTGGGCACATATGGATGTTTTTCAATGAAACTTGTTACTGGTAGCTGGTCTTTCTGCCTTTTTTTTTCCCCCAGCAAGAGATGTTGTGCATTTGAAGGGAGCCAACCAGAACCAATGATGCCATCCCTCTGAGGGATGGGACAGGGAAATCTGAGCCCATCTGTCTCAGGTTTAACTACTGGAGGTGAATCCTGCTGGGACCATTTTGTCATTTCTGATACTAAAAATGAATGGTGCTATGCACTAATGGTTAACACATGCTGCAAGATGTTTACGATTCCCTGTGGCCAAAGAAGTAAATGTTCTTCCAACTTAAGCTGCAGGAGATAGTCAATTTCACAGAGATGCATTCTTCGTTTATATGAGCTGCCCGTGTAAAAGAGGAAACACAGAACTCGGGGAGTGAAAAACCTTTGTTCCATGCCCAGGTTCAGGCCACAGGTACCGGATGCCACTGTGTATACTGGGCACACGGCCAAGCTGGAGCCCTGAGAGAGGAGCTAGAGCTATGATTTCAGGTCGGTGGGAGCATCATGTACTCTTTGTATCAAGAGAGGGGGCAAAGCCCACATTGACATCTTTTACTTTCTTGAGTGCAAAGAGGGAAAGACGGAAGGGTACTGGAGAGAGACAGTTTTTTTAAAAAACACTATTTATTTATTTTTATGTGCATGTATGTGGGAGGCAGTGGGCGTACAATGCATGTCTGAAGCCAGAAAAGGGCATCCGATTTGCTGGAGATGTAGTTACGGGCGATTATGATCTGCCCAGTGTGAATGACAGGAACTGAACTTGAGTTCTCTGTAAGAGCAGCCAAAATGCTTAAACGCTGCTCCCCTGGATAAACTGCCTTTAAATGCATTGAGTAGGTGGATCCCGTAGATTGTCAGAGATTAAAATCACCTCAATCCATAAATCTAAGGAGTCTGAGGAAGTGGACAGAGAGCAGCAGTGTTGGGGTACAATCTGAACCCTAGGCCACTCAGTGTACTAATTGCTTTTCTCGATGCTTTGACTAAAACCGGACAGAAAGCAGCCGAGGGGAGGATGGGTTTATTCTGACTGCAGTTGGCGGGCACACAGTCCACCATGGCAGGAACTTGAAACTGATCACATTACTTTTACAGGCAGGAGGCAGAGAAGAAACAGGCAGTCAAGTGGACCCAAAGAACCTTAGAGGCCATTCCTCCAGGGGACTTCGCCTACTGAAGGCTCCATAACCTTTCATCTCATAAACTAGGGACCAAGTGTTCACACTCATGAGCCTATGGAGGGGGGCATTTCACATCAAACCACAGAACTCAGAATATTAATTTATTAGGGAGCAGTGTCTTCATCGAGGTAATAAACTTAAAATGAGGTTCTTTGGGCGAGCCCCAATTCTGTACAACTGCTGTCCTTACACAAGGAGGGAATTTAGATAGAGATAGAATAATACAAGGGATACATTATATAGAGGTAAGGCAGAATTAGAGGTGATATATCCACAAGTCATGTCGAACAT